GTCAGACAGGTCAGAGGCGGTCAGACAGGTGATGCACGGAGAGTCAGGAGGTCATACTAACGTGGACCGTGAGGCAGAGAGACCACAGCAAAGATACTGTCGCAGGCTGCAGAAGGAGGAGAAACACAGTAAGAGGAGGAGGACTTTGTCTCTCCGATGCAGCTAAGCTAACAGCTAATATCAGCTCCAGGCAGGGTTAGTGTCTGTGGGCGGGGTTAGTGTCTGTGGGCGGGGTTAGTGTCTGTGGGCAGGGTTAGTGTCTGTGGGTGGGGCTTACTGGAGTGGAAAGGGCTGCTCGGACCCTGTGGTGAATCGAACACGCTGCCTACATCAGTGGAGCTGGAGGCGGCGGAGGCAGGGGGCGGAGTCAGGGGCGTGCGGGGAGAGTTGGGGGCGGAGACTGCACCGCCCTCAGCCTCGCTGTCAGGGATGCGACTGTAGCTAATCTTTCTCGGCTCGCTCTGCAGCGGCGTCGGGTGTCGCATGGTGCCGGGCCTGGCAGAAGTGGGGCGGATGCCTGGAGACTTCAGTGGACAGGTGTACTTCTTCACCTGGCCAGGAGGGGGAGGTGGAGTGTTAATTTTGTGCTGATATTGAAAGTGATGAGGTGTTGCTGTGGCGACACTTACAAATCGTGGGAGCGAGCGGGCATTTCTCGGCTCGATTTCCAGAGATTTGTTGAACAGGTGATCAGCGAAGTCCTTCTCTGACAGGTCATCCATTGGGTTCAGGTTCTCAAAGAACTTCTGCTCCACAGACACAAAACATCAACACGTTAGCACAACTGTGAGGCTTCACCTGTGTAACACCTTTGCTTTCAAGTTGTTCAAGTAGATTTGAATAATTAACACCGTAGCATGGTAACCATCAGATTTTAGTTCGACTGGGTGTTTGCAGCGAAAAACCTGCCAGCAGCTGATTTTTTAAAATTCCTTTAACTACAGGAAACAACGACCTCCGCGCAGCAACAACACCCTGAAAATCTCAAGATTGTTAGAAAAACGCAAGACTGTCGTTTCCCCTGAAGAATGATGAGGTGCAGCAGATAGTTCTGGTATGCAGACTGGACAAAACAACACGAGGGATATTCAATATAGTCCCTACAGTTAAGAGCACATCATGTTCAATGTGCTGTAGACATGAGGGCGCTCGGGCTCGTGTGATGGGCGACGTGCACTGACCCGGATGTCGCCCTCGACCCTTAAGCAGTATGGCTGGTTCTGATACTGCTGGATTTCTCCAGTGATCTCAGCCACTTTCCGCCTCTTGCTGAAGTTGATCAGGTCTTTGCCGTGGCGGCGCAGGAAGTCAGGGTTTCCCTCCTCCGTCTTCAGGATGTTGGTCAGGTAGATTCCTGCACAAAAACACAGATGACGTTATTACACCTTTGACCTTTAGCTAACCTGAACAGACCGGTAGGAGGCGGAGCCTACCAAAAAAGGGCACACAGGGAGGGTTGATGGAGCGCAGCTTGGCTAAGTACTTCTTGTAGTGATCCTCACTCAGCTCATGAGCCTCCTCCAGGATTTTCCTCTGTCGACTCGGAATTTGCTGCAAGTACAAAACAGGGATGATTATAAAATGTACATTTCGGTTTTGTGTTCTAATTTAAAAAAAAAACAAACAAAAAAAAAAAACCCACGACTGAACCTTAGATCTAGAACATAGGAGATAGTTAGTTGGGGGGTCTTTTTGGAACTTTGGTTTTGAGTTTGACTTGGACCTGTTGTCCAGAAGCTGTCAGACTTGGAGCAGAGCACTTCCCGGTCTCACTCTCTGAGTTCCAAAAGGTTTGTCCGTTTCCTCTATTGTTACCTGGCTGAAAATCTTAAAAGGGGGTTCAACCAAGTCTCTACTTTCCTCTGTGACAACAACCGGTATGACCCGTATCAGTCTGGTTCTAAACGGGGTCACTCTACCAGACTGCCCTCCTCTCTGTAACAGAACCACTGGGTTCTGCTGGAGCTGCTGGACAGTCTTCAGCTCTGTTGCTGTTCGATCTGTCAGCTGCCTTTGACACGGTGACCCACCACATCCTCCTCTCCACACTCCCTGAGCTGGACATCTCAGGATCTGCCCTCTGCTGGTTCATGTCCTACCTCTCAGGAGATACTTCAGAGTATCCTGGAGGGGAGAAGTGTCCGAACCACACAACCTGTCCACAGGAGTTCCTCAGGGGTCAGTACTTGGTCCCCTTCTCTTCTCAATATACACAACCTCACTCGGTGCAATAATCCAGGCCCGTGGTTTCTCATACCGTTGCTATGCTGATGACACCCAGCTCTTCCTGTCGTTCCCCTGGACGACCACATGGTCTCTGCTGGATCTCATCATGCCTTGCAGACATCTCGGCCACCTTCAGCTCAACCTCTCTAAGACTAAGCTCCTTGTCATCCCAGCCAGTCCCTCTCTACAACAAGGAATCAGCATCCAGCTGATCCAACCCAACTCAGACCCACTAAATCTGACAGAAACTTGGGCGTCATGATTGGTGACCAGCTGACCTTCAAGGCTCATGTGGCCTCTGTTGCTCGGTCGTGTCGATTCGTCCTGTACAGCATCAGGAAGATCAGACCTTTCCTGTCTGAACATGCAGCACAACTCCTGGTCCAAGCTCTCATCATATCATCGCCTACTTCAGCTCCTTACTGGCAGGCCTCCTGCATCCACGCTCAGACCTCTGCAGGTGATCCAGAACCAGCAGCCCGTCTGGTGTTCAACCAGCCAAAAGCAGCACGTCACTGTTCTGATCGGTCACTGGCTTCCAGCTGCTTCAAATCCAAACTCTGACACTGAACACAGAACCACAGAGAGAGCATCTCCCTCCGACCTGAACTCTCTCCTTCAGGTCTACACTGCCTCTGCTCACTAACTGGACCAACCAGAACCTCTTGATCCAAACACCACAACAGGCCCGGGTCGGTAGCTGGACTCTCCTCCTCTGTGGTTCTGGTGGTGGAACCAGTTACCAAACTGTTCAACCTGCTGACTCCCTCTCAGTCTGTAAGAACAGACTGAAGAGCAGCTCTTCACTCAGCACCTCAGCACCTGACAGCCTGGAAACAAACAAACAAACAAACAACAACACGCTTCCTGTTACCTCCTGCTCTGCCTGCAGGCACCAAGGTCCGATCACTCTGGACCGGTTCTATGGCACTTATCCAGGATGTTTTTTTCCTGACTAGATTCTTGCTTGTGTTGTATTTACTCTCAGACGCTTTGGATAAATTGTAGCATTGAACCGTCTGAGCTGCAGCGGCCCCTGCTGTGAAGCGTCTACAGCTGGATTACAAGTGAAGGAAGCTGCTTATTGGCTGAAGGAGCAGAGTTCAGTTTCAGTGTGAGGGCACGTTACGGCCCCGGGCCGTTACACTCCTGCTCCTCCTTTTTCTCCTGCTCCTGTGATAGTTTGCATTGTGTGCAGCTGTTTGCCCTGTCTGTCGTCGCCCGGCCTCCGTCGTCTGGTTCGCCTACCCGGTCCGAAGCTGAACGAGAAAGTTAGAACGTGAGACCTGCTGGTTAGTTTAGGGGTGCTGCTGCCTCTGTATCTTTTGATTTATGTGTCGTAACTCCTCCTCATCAATTTCTGACAAATTCGCTTTTGTTATAGTTTTTTCATTTATTTCAGCAGCACCCAGCTGCCTTCTCTCCCCTCATGAATTGTTTCATATTGTGAATAAATCACAGCTTGTGACTCTGGGAAGCTGCTGTGTTGTGCCTTTTCTGGTTGTTGCCCAGATACTCTAGACAACCGGGTCGTAACAGGGCAGTGTTTGGATTTGTTGTAGTTGATGAAGATGAGCAGCTGCATCAATGAGAGAACCAACACATGTGGCTGTACTGTAACCCACACTATGAAAAATAAGGCAGTTTAAAATCCTCACAGATTCTGAGATCAGACTGCACCACCAGGAGAAGCTCCACACATATTCCTCTGTCTAGTCTCAGACATACTCTCAGCATATCTGTTTTTTTCAGTAAGTGTACCGTAGACCAGCTGCAGTACCTGGTTGTTCCACCAGGTGGAGCCTCTCACTGTTTAGTCCTGTAGAGACCAGAGGAGGCGTCACTCAGACTACAGCTCATGGTGGCAGCAGAGAGCATTGTGGGAGTTTAGCAGCAACGGGACCATGACAGAGACTCTGAGGAGGTTCAGGACCTCCAACCAGAGCTCAGGAGTTTAACACCAACTAGGACAGAGTTCCTATAATTTGATGGCCATTTTTCTGGCTGATGTCATGTGTTTGCTTAAGAATTTAAATCCTCACAGACTCTGAATTAAGGCTGCATCATCAGGAGAAACTCCACAGATATTCTTCTGTCTAATCTCAGACATACTCACCGGACCAGGTGTGAACATACCAGCACAGGGACTGAGGTCCACTGAACTCTGTGTTACTGATTAACAAATTATTGCTTGATAATGCTGCAAGCTATCTGCCAAGAAAACTCTGTAAAGTCTGCATCACTACTGCAGTGAGCAGGTGTGCATCCATTAGTGTTTGTGACGTGTTACCTCAAAGGTGTGGTCCAGTCTGTAGACAGGTGAAGAGTTCATCGCACTGACAACCTCCAGAACGCCGTTAAAGTTGTTCAGTTCCTGAAAGACCTGCAGGATCTCTATGATCCGAGAAACAACTGCGACTCGTTCCTCCAGGTTCTCCGTTTCTACAATACACCTGGAGAGAAAACAGCAGGTAAGGCCAGGTTACTGCACACTGCACCTCCCCGACCTGTATCTGGAGACATCAGAGTGATGCAGAGGAACGTCCAAGCAAGGTCTTACTTCTCAAACCACAACGTGAGGTTGGTGGTGTGTCGGATCATCCTTAGCAGGTTGGGCGAGTGAATCTCTTTGTCCTCTTTGGTCCAGACGCTGCCGACCAGCTCAGACGGCTGCACCGCCCTGCAGGGCAAAGCTCACAAGTGAGACAGGTGTGACAAATGTGTGACAGGTCTGAGACAGATGAGACAGGTAAGAGAAAGATTACCTGTAGAAGTCGGACTCAAGCAGGGTGAGCTGGCGCGCAATCTCGATGGGGTGCAGCGTCATGAGGTCAAACTGCTCAATGTTTCCTGGTTTACAAATGTGCCACTCGATGGGGGGCGGAGAGTTCTGGAAGGTGATGCTGTGACTGGGCACGCTCACCTGAACCTGCTTCTTCCTCTGGATGATCTTTGTGATCGACTCCACCCATTTCCTCATCGCCTTACCTGGAACACATGACATCCCTTACCTGCAGCAGCCATCACATAGCTACTGTGGATACATACACCTGAGCACCTGATTACCTGTCTGAACATCAGTACGACTGTTCAGAAGTTCAGACAAGTGTTCGGGTGCTCTGATGGTCAGACAGGTGTTCAGTGAAACAAATGTTCAGAACGATGTTCATGCACACCTCTGACTGAAGAAATGAACTCCTCCAGGCGACTCAGCAGGTGAGCATCTCTCTCAAAGTCGTAGAAGTGATGTTCCACCCAGTGTCGACATACATTCAGCACCCTGCAGGAGGGGGACAAGGAGGTCACAGGTAAACAGACAGGTGTGCGACAGATGAGTCTCTACCTGAGCTAATCTAAGGTCAGTGTTCAGGTGTGGGTCTACCTGAGCTGCACCGGCTGAACAAACTCTTTCCGGAAGCGTTTCAGTTCAGCGCTGAGCGGCTGCTCTCCTCCCTCCATCTGATCCACTTCGGTCGGCCTCGGCTCTGGGATCTCAAACCTGAAAACAAGACACACACCTCTTCATGCTTTAATATTCAGACTCATGTGGTTCTGGTTCTGATCATTCACCAGAGAAAACTTTATAAAGTGCATTCTGGGTAAACTTTAAGACTCATATTGATACCAAGATCGTCACTGTGAGGATGGAAACGGGCTGAGAGAAAAAAGAGACAGAACCAGAACTGAAGCCTATCAGAAGAGAATCCAAAAGATTGGTAAACAAGTTCTGAAACTGTTCAACATGAGTTCACAGACAGAAACTGAATTAAAGATCGTTCTGTGGGTTCTTCCTCATTTTGTTCATTTCACATCCATTAGAGAACTGAGAAGCAGCCCTGACATGAATAGAACCTCTGTGGAACATTGTCACAACCTGCTGGGAGAACCTGCAGCCGTCATAACAAACAATAGTAATGACAGATTCTGACAGTCGGGACCTTGTACACTGGTTCTGCTGTCAACTGCTGCTCTGTCAGAACCAGAGCTTTCGTGATTTCAAGTCTCACAGACACAGTGTGTCTGAGTAAGTCCACCACATGATCGCACTGAAGCGTTCTGATTGGTCCCTGAGACCTGACAGGTGAGCTCACCTCTCCATGAGCAGGTCCAGCAGCTCCTGAGGTTTACAGAACGACCTGTAGGTGGTCAGAAAGGTCCGCACGAAGTTCGGATCTGAATGAGAGAACAGAAGCAGTGGATCACAGAGCAGAACCAGACTGTCCATCCATAGACCCACACCGGGTCCTCTGCTGTTCACTCTGACAGCTGTCCTCAGTTGTCATGGAGACGACTGGACACACACACACACACACACACACACACTGTTCCTGCGGTTTCATGTCAGAGGTCAGTCTCTAAAACTTGCTGTCAGATTGATCAACAAACAGGAATCCGTTCAGCCTGGGCTGAAACACCTGCACATGACATCACGCCTCACCTGCATACATGTGGAAGGTGAGTCTCTCGATCAGCTTCAGGACCGTCCCTGCTTTGATGATGGGGATCCCGGACTTGGACTGGACGTTCTCCTCAAACACAACGTTCTCCTCGGAGTCGGGTTCTGCGAAGCGGTACACCTCAGCTCCCGGCAGCCTCATCTGCTCCTCCTTCTCCTCCTGCAACATGGCCGAGTCCAGCATGCGCTCCAGCGTGCTGCGGTACTGCAGCGAGATCAGCGCCGCCATCCAGCCGTTCTTCTCCTCAGCAGACTTGGCGGCAAACACGACGCTGTTCCCGTCCTTCAGGATGATCTCGAAGGCGTGCCGGTACTCGCCCTCCTTGTCGTCCTTGTCGTTGATCTGGACCTTGCGCATGAAGAACTTCTCTTTGAGCCGGTACTCTGCGGTGGAGCTGGCGCCGGGCAGCCGTGGCGGACCGTGGTTGGACTTGCAGCAGATCATCAGGCCATCAAACAGGAAGATGTGGCGCTCGTGCTTGGCGCCGACGCGGGTCAGCGTGCCCTCCATGATGAACTCGTTGCAGCACTGGCCGATGTCCTTGCCCTCCCAGCCGTCGATGTTCTTCTGGATCTCGTTCATCTTCTTGATGGCCAGGTGCTTCCCCTTCATCTGATGGCTGTAGAAGCGACACGCCGACTCACTGCACACCGCCAAAGAAGAGGACAGAGTGAGTCATGAGAACCAGACCAGAGTCTGTGTTCTGGTGTCAGTAAAGACGAGTGTTAAGGCTACAACTGGACCTGAACTCATGAGGAACAGTTCTCCACCAGTTCACTGAATGGCTGCTGCAGCTCAGCCTCCTACAGAGGAGTTGAGGCAGAACGACCTGCAGTGACCTGCAGCGAACAGAACTACTTGCAACGACCTGTAACGAACAAAGTGATCTGCAATGACCTGAGTGACTTGCAACGAACAGAGAAACCTGCAACAACCCGCATCTAATAATGCAATCCGCAACGAATGCACAGCAGTATTGATGTGTATCGACACGTCTGTGTCAGCACTGTACGGCTGTATTGATTAGGGACTGACAGGTCTGAATCGGCGTGTGATTGGAAGTTAGTGAATTCGATCAGACTGAAGATCAAAGCTTGTTGCTGAGGGTCCCTTCCCCCCCCTCCTTCCCTCCTCCCCCGGTGCCTTCATCTCATCATTGGGTTGTTTCTACATCATGTGACAGTTGGGGGAGTTCTGACTGGATGGCATCCTCGGCTCTGTACAAACCAGTGAGGCAGCTGTGACGTCCAACAGGAAGTGAGGTGACAGCAGAAAGGCCTCTGACCTCATCGCGCTGTGACACAGAGACACAGTGACATCATCACAGCTGTGACATCATCACATCAGCAGAAAGAACAGACTGCTCCTTTAACTGAGGCTGTTACCTGCTAATCCGTTTACTGCATAAAGCCCTGAAGAATGCAGTTTCACAAGGCTGCAGCAGCAACACAGCCTGTCAACAACTACACCTACACAACCTGT